TTTTTTAATCAAGGTGAGGAAGACTCCCAGAGACTCTAACTTGTGTCCTTCCACTTCCTCCTGCAGTAACCCCCTGCCTCCCATCCTTCCCAGAGATTCATCTGCTTTTCCCCTCTGACCCCACAGTTCATGCTGGTCCTGAGGGCACTGGAGATGTGGAAGGCAGCACGGGAAACGTGCCCTTGTGAGGACTGTTCCAAAAAAACAAAGGTGAGTAGGGGGTTAGAGACTGTGAATTCCTGGTTCTCCAACCCTTCAAGGGCACTGTGGGCTTCCCAGTGTACCCTTGTGAGGAATGTTCCAAAAAACCAAAGGTGAGTAGGGGGTAGAGTCAGTGAATTCCTGGTTCTCCAACCCCTCAAGGGCACTGTGGGCTTCCCAGTATTCCAGTCATCTAGTTTTCATTAAAAGCACTGGAGCTGGAAGAGGGAAAATGGGGTGGGTGGAGAGAAAGGAAGGACTCACTAAGAGCCTGTTGGTGGCCTTGGAGTCAGGTCTTCCTGAGAGGGGAAGGGAAGGTCTCTGTTGAACAGCTTTGCCTTGGCTCACTTTGAAGCAGTGACATTGGCAAAGTGCTCAGTTCTATTTCTCCAAAAAAAGGAGACTTTGGTAAACAGGCTTCCTGAGAGACTCCAAAAAGCAATATTCACCTCCTTGGTCCTGGCCTGGGTGCTGTGCTCTAACCCTGTTTCAGCTGGGAGATTCAAGTCCTGTAAACCTGACAAGGGCCAGCAGGGAGTTTCCTCAGCCTCTCCATTCTAAGGATTCCAGCCTTGGGCAGCATCCCTTCTCCCTGCTGTGCTGGCCAGGCTGTGGGGGAAGTGGCCTTGCTGGCAGCCCTGTGCCCAGCTGGGCAGGCACAGAGGGGCCAGGGTAGGAGGGAGCCCAGAAAGAGACAATGAGGAGCAGGAAGTGGAAGGAGGAGTAGGATGGGAAGGAGTGAATGCAATAACGTGGACAGATGGGATGGGAGGTCTGTGGAGAGAAAGCTATGGAGAAACTTGGGAGCCAGGGAGGGCAGATGGAGGATGGGCCAACCAAAGAACAGCTTGCCAGCCTTCCACCCTTACCAGCCCATCCCCAGGAGGAGCTCACTGCCCTGCAAGGCTGTGGGGAACATCCCTGCCACCAGAGCAGGGCACAAGGGCTGGTGTCTTGGCATGGAGGAGGTGCTTCCAAAAAACATCAGCAATTACCTCCGCGGCAGCCAGCGAGCAGGAGTGATTTACATAGTAAGAGCTGGGAGATAGATGGCTCTTTAAACCAGATCTGTCATTCCCAGCTCTCTCCCGTCTCTGAAGCTTTGATGTTCCTCTTTGAAGAGCTCTCCTCGCTTGCTGCTCCCGCTCCCTTGGTGCCGCTCCAGCTCTCCGAATGCCTTTCCTGTCTCTCTGCAGGAAGGATGCAGAGCAGGTCACAGCTGGCACCCTGAAAGCCAGCCCTGGCAGGGGCTGTGGGGAGGGGAGGTGTCTTGGGCAGGCACCGAGGCATCTGCTCTGCACCAGGTCTGGTGTGCCAGCAAAGAGGGGAATTGAGACAATAGCAGCAGCGATGCCAAGCAGCTTTCCATCGCTGCGTTGCCATCTGATGGAGGAATCCACGTGTTCAGCCCAAAAACCAAAGGTGGGTAGGGGGGTGGAGGCCGTGAATTCCTGGTTCTCCAACCCTTCAAGGGCACTGTGGGCTTCCCAGTATTCCAGCCTGTGTGACATCTCTCACTTCCCCTGTGTCTCTGGTAGGCTGAAGTCTCTGGGTAAGGAAGGGAAAAGGAAGAATAGATTCACGTGAGGAATGTGCTTTGGTGTGGTTGGAGTTACAGGACACTTGGTGAAACAGTGGCCAGAGGCTTCTGTGAGAAGCACGGACATGGAGAAGCCTGTCACAGCAGCAAGGACCAGCTCAGAGTGCTCTGTGTGAAGGAGGCACAGGGAAACAGCGAGGGAAAGGTGGGTTGGAGGAGGTGAAGTCTGCCTGCTGCAACCCACCTCCTGCCCTGAGCTCTTCCATCCTGAGGTGCCAGTGACTGAGGGCTTGGTTTCCTCAGTTTAGCAAAAATCCCTTCACTAGCTGCATAAGCAAAATAACAAAAAGGCACTCCAACACCAGAATTACTGCCTCTTCATGTTCTTAGTAAGGGATGAAAGCTGAGAGACATAAAAGCAGTGCACTTCCATTGGTGAAGGGGTAAAGGGGCCTCAATATAACTCTTTATTACATAAAGGAGATCCCTTGTGTGTGAACTTCATAGCCCAATGGTTTGTTACACGTGAGAATCTGATGGGTAAAGCTGGAGAGCAAACTACTGTCACAGAAGCATGGGCATACAAATGTCCTGTTGCTGGATATTTCACCTCTAAGATACTGTGAAAGGTCTGTGCTTTGGAAATAAAAATCATCACGGTGTAGGCACTCTGCATGCAGAAATCCTAATTTGGTCTACTACTTTTAGAGGTACTTGGGTCTATGTTGCCCTTGAGAGCTGCACTTGAATTTTGGCTCGGGGTCCCAGGGCCAAGAGGTGTGAAGCAGATGTTTTGACTGCAGGCACTAAGCAAGAGTTTCTATTTCTGGTGCCAATTGGATGATGCCAGTTAAGCCCAAATATCCACCTGCCTGGGAGAGAGTGTGTCTCCTTGCATCCCTGTGAAGAGCCTCAGTCTTTTTTGGCAATACAGCCCAAATTTCTGAAAGTGAGCTCTGTCTTTCTAGGGCCACTCCAAAGATCTAAGTTGTTTTAGTTCCTCAGACAGGAGAGAGAGCTGTTTTGTAGCTCTCAGAAAGTTCATCTGCATCCTTTGCAGATGAATTGCCCTGACCCAGAGACTGTCGTTGGACACACTGGGCAGTGTCAGGAAATGTTTTGAACATCCTGTAGTTTTTAAGCAAGGGGGGCCTGGGAACACAGATCCTTCATTGTGAACAGAGCCAAGTGGAGGCAGCCCATGTTTAATCTCCCTCCCCAACCACTCTTGCAAGTAGGATTTTTGTTTCTGCTCTCTGCTGTAAGCAGCTTCCCTGGTGGCAGTAGAGCCCTGAGTTCACCAGCTTGGAGGGATAAAACCCCAGCTGCATGCTGGATGCTCTGGCTGTCTTGCCTGCTGTTAGCCATGCTGCAGGGGGCCATTGCTATTGCTCAGCCCCAGCTTTGCTGGCTAAGCTGTGCTTGCAAATGCAGCAGAAGGGCTGATTCCCCTTCTGAAATCATTCTTCTGGCACAAAAAAGTGCTGCCTGACCACACGTGGTTAGGCACAGCACAGCCAGTCACTGTGGAGGTCAGGCACGGATGTGGGTGAGGAGCAGAGGCACTAACAATCAGCAGGCTCCGAGCTCTTTGGGTTTCCTTTTTATTTTCTGAATAAGGATTGTTGCAAGAAAAGGGATGGCAGTTGTTCAGGTGTGTGGCTGTCATCATTAGCACAAAACCCTGCCATGCTCACAGACTGCTTTAATGAAAACCATGCCAGGTTTCACCTGTGGGTTAGGGACCCTCCATCTGCTGCCAGCTCTGCAAATTAACTCCAGCCTGTCCCACAGGTAACCTGCTCTCCAGCAGGACAGGCATCCATGTGCCAGGGCAGCCAGCAGCAGGGGAAGTAGACTTGGTTTCAAGACAGGAGCTTGATTTCCTCTGTTGTGCTCTTGGGGCATGGTGAGGGTAGAGCCTGGCCTTGGCAAGCTGCAGTATCCATGTGCCAGGGCAGCCAGGAGCAGGGGAAGTAGACTTGGTTTCAAGTCTACTTCAAGTCTACTTTCAAGACTTGGGGCTTGATTTCCTCTGTTGTGCTCTTGGGGCATGGTGAGGGTAGAGCCTGGCCTTGGCAAGCTGCAGCACCATAACACAGCAACTCTTATTCCTACCAAGATACCTCAGGGCCAAATGACACCATCTGTGTGCAGGTTTGTGCTAACAGCAGTGCCCTGGTGGGCAGGACCATGGGGACACCATTTCTCACAAATTCTCCCCCAGTGGTCTAGCAAGGGTCTCCCTGGACAGGAATTTGTGGCAGTGTGTCCAACAAGCTTGCAGCACTAGGAGGGAGCCACAGCACTGCTGCCTCCTTGCTTTTATTTTTTTCACTGTGGCTCATCCTCTCTTTCCTTTGGGTTGCAGAAGATTGGGAAGTTGGGCCCCCGAGGGAAATGAACCTCTGTGTCCTGGATGTCTGGTGTCACCTGTGATGCAGAAGCATTGTCCCTTCCTGGTGTGTGTCCGACACTTCTTGTGACCACTTGTCCAGCTGAGGTTAGGGAAGGGAAATGGCTTGGTGCAAACTGGTTGGTGAAGGCAAAAAAGGATTATACTTCCTCTGGTGAGTACTAGTGAACAAACAGGCTGTGAGCACTGCCAAGAAAATCTATAATTTGTAGAAAAAGAGCACTCTGACATTGTCACCTCACTTTAATCTCCCCTTGCCTTTAGTGATTATTTTCTCCTTGGCCATTGGTGACTATCTGGCTAGCAATAAGTACAGCTTACTCTACTGTTCTGGTTCAACTCTAACAGTTAATGATGTCAAGCTGTATTAAGCTTGAGCCACTCTGATCATCTCATTCTAAACATCCCTTGAATGCCATGGAGCAATTTTCTCTGTAAGAAGCTGTTGGTCAGTGGATTCATGCCTGCTTTGTCTTGCTGTTCTTGTCCTGAAAGGAAATTTTTGTGCTAAAAAATGTAGCTGTGTATGTGTTGCAGGAATAGAAAATGCCTGAGCTGCACACTGACCTCCGCTAGATAAAGTGTTTTTATAAGGCTTTACAAACATAAATGTTAGGGGTCATCCTGCATTTTCATAAAGGATAGAGGGCCAGGACCTCAGCTGGTGTAAATCAATGTAGTCTGCCTGAGAAGGGCTGAATTCTTCAGCTGAAAATTTGCTGAGTAGTTTTTGCTAGGGGTCTGTAAAAATCAGAAACAACATCAGCAAGAGGGCAAGCAAGGAGCACCATTGCCTAGTTGATGTCCTAGAAGAATAAAGGGGCACCAGCTAAAGCTGGAATGCTGGATTGTTCAAAACAATAGGGAGAAATTTCCAACATAAGGCACTGTTCATGTGGGGACTCCTTGCCACGGTATGCTATGGGCTTGTGTTTACATGGTTCAAAAATAATTTGGACAAATTCATGGATAAAAACCTCCTAAGGCTATTAAAAACCAGAACATACCTTCTTGCTCTGAAAGGTATTTCAGCTCAAGGCTTTCTGAGCTGCAGGTTATGAGAAACCAGGGAGAAATATGTTTAAAAGGGCTTATTAGGCTAGCTAGACCTCAGAAAAGCAGGTTACAAAAACCATTGAGGGCCTTATAGTGTGTGGTAGAAGATGATATAGTAGAATGACCTCCCTGCTCATCCAAATTTTAGGCTGATTTTAAGGAGACACTTAGGGCACTGCACAACTAAAGCAGCCAGAATTTTCTCTCCCTCTGTCTGAGATGGGCTCAGGCAAAGACCCCCCATGTTAGCAGGGGCTGTCCATCACCACAGAGCTGGGAGAGTTTTCTGGCCAAGATTTCTTGCAGGTTTGCTCAGAAGATGAGGTTGAATCCATCCAGACCTAGCCCACTTCCTTCTGGGAGAGGACAGCAGGAGAGAATGTTGATACAACAGTGGAGGAGAGAGGCAGAGGAAGGCAACCAGTGCAATGGTAAGGGAAAGTCCTCTCAGGCAGGAATTGCAAGCAGGAATGAGCCTCTGGCCAAACCATGATCTCAGCCTTCTCCTGAGAGAGGTGTTGAGAAATTTTAGCACCTAGAGGGCTGGAAAGCAGCAGCCTGATGTTGAGGGGTGAAGAGTAAGGGCTGTGTGAAAGGACAGGCACTACCCTGTCATGAACTATCCAGAAATGGAACTTCTCCTGGGGCGAAAGAAAGGTGAGAAAACAGAGGTGTTCTCCCTCCCTGAGTGAGTCTGACAGCCATATGGTGTAAGAATTGTTGTCATCATAATTAATTCCTTTTTGACATTGCTCTGGCAGATGTCCACGGGTCTGCAGGAGCAGGGCTGTCCTCTCAGCAGCTGCAAAGAAGTGGAGTGAGAAATAAGTGGCAGGGAGGGTTGGTTGCGTTTGTTTTGCAGGCTAGCTGGGCTTGCATGGGAAAGGACCATCTCTGATGCTGAGTGGATTCTTCTGTCTCTGGCCCTGCAGGCTATCAGAGGGACAGGAACTCCATTTTCTCACACTGTCACTCCAGCCCTGGACTGCACCAACGTTGCTGAAGCTGATGCTTTAATATAAAGCAACTTGTGCATTGCAACAAGGAAACTCAGCCAAATGAGAGAGCACCTATCTCAGGTAAACATAACCCTCATGTCCAGCAGTCATTTGACACTGTCTGCTAAAACACCTCTACCTCCAGTATAAAATCACCTGAAGTGAGGGTTTTGACCTGCTAGGCACTAAGGTTACAGCTCCAGAGGGTAAATGCATATGGTTTCCCCCTCTTGCTGCCTTTTGTGCCCTCTGTAAAGAAGGGCTCTTCATTAAGCTGGAGGGGGAGAAGAAAGGCACTTTCAGATAGTCTAACCTTTCTGTTTCTAGTGTATCATCACCATTAATCCCCGTCTCTGGATTTCTGTGTACTGCCATGGTCCTGGCTCCTTGTGTTGTGTAGAAAAAGGGCAGCCAGGGAGGCATGTAGGTGGTGATTATAGAATTTCTGCTGTGCTTTCCATGTCATGGTCCTGGGGGCATGACCTGTAATTGTGTGATGGTTTGGGTTTGGTTTCAGCTGCACCCCAGACTTGAGACAGCTCTTATAGACCTAGATGTCCTGAGTGCATGTGGAGAGCTCATCCCTTGAGGACACACACAGGGGACCAAACTTATAGAAGAGATGGATTACTGATTTTTTTAAATGGTTGGTTCTTCAAAGGAGTCCAGTTTTCTACCTTTCATACCGAGGATTTCCCTTTTGTGACTTGAAGCAGAGATTTTATTTTCCCTTCCCTTCGTGTAATTCCTGTTTATTACACAACCTCTCCTTATTGACATAGCATCTTTAGCTTATGCATCATTTATTGGTATCTGAACAGTTACTGGAAAGTGTTCCTGGGTAAGCTCTAGGGAGGCACGGTTGCCTCACTAATGGAGGAAAAGCCTAATGACTTCCTAAATCAATTAGCCTGAAAGGCCAGAAGGCATGTCAGGCTGCTCTGCCCACGCTCACACACCACAGGGGCTGTGCTGTGGTGGTGGCATGGTACCCACAGACACACTCACTGCTCCCCACGTGGCAGCCAGAAGGACATTTCCTACCCAGAAATGTGTGTTCCTCTGTACCCATTCATTCCATACATCCCTGCTGCTGCACGTGCACTCCTAACTCAGGACTCAGCAGCTGCTGGTCCCCTGCCTGCTGCTGACCCATGGGAGTTGTGTGCCTGTTCTCCAGCAGGCAGCCCAGCTCTCAGGCACTGAGTGGAAAGGCAAGAGAACGGGCTGAGCAGAGAAGCAGGTGGGAGAGAAGGGGACAAAACAAAGCCAAGATGAAACGCTCATCTAGGAAGCATGAAGACAAGCAGGGATTACTGGTAGGAGCTGGACTGCCTGCACATGCTTTATCCAGGAGAGTGTCAACACAGTGACTCCCAAACTGGGATACCTGGAAGTTGGTGAATGAAAGGAACAAAAAGACTTGGTGGCACAAGAATTTCTTTGGTGGCACAAGAATTTGTCTGTGCAGGAGGAGGAGCATTGCTTAGAAGACAGGAAAGGAAAAAGTGTGCAGCAAGACTGGACTGGTGGCAGAGAGGATGTTTGGCAGATGTTTCTTCCACAGACCACGCAGAGCTGGGGGGAAGGGGGATGTGGTTAACTGGATCTGGTTAAGGTGGGAATAAGAGTGTGAGGTCTCTGCAGCAGGGAGCAGAAGTGTAAAAGCCAAAAGAAAGAGGACCAGGGCAGGGCAGAGGGTGAAAGATGCCAGAGAACAGCTGTGAGCTTCAAGGGAACCAGAAGGATATTTCCTGATGAGTTCAGCTGCTAAGAAGGACATGGAGGCTGTGACCTGTATGTAACCTACAGAGACTGTTCCAGGAGGGAAGAGCTATTCCCAGGAGGGAACAGGCCTAGGCATGGACTTGGGGTGAGTCCCATCCCTGAAAGAGCCAGTGTGCAAGGGGCAGGGATGGGAAGGGAAGGTTAACGCAAAGGAAGAGAAGGAGGGAGCATTGTGACTCCAGCTGGCGCATTCCCAGGCCATTTCAAACAGCCCCAGAAAATCCAGATGCATGTGCCTGGTGAAGAGTAACACGGTCTGGACATGGTGCATGGCATCCCCTGGCTGCACAGTGGTCCATGGTCAGCCCCAGGAGCTCCTGGGCAAGTTCCTCTCCTTGCCACCTGCCACAGGAAGAAGATCCCCAGCCTCCAGGTGCAGCCCAGGCTGAGGAGACCAGCACACCCTATTTTCAGGGCTGTGCCACTGACTCTTGGCCGACATGAAGGGAAGCTGAATCACCGTATTATAATTTCAAGCTCCATTAAAGAAACATGGGGATAGTGGAGGGAAGGAGAGGGCAGGGAGGGATGAAGAGAAAATTGAACAGAGCAGAGTAGCACTTGAAGGGGAAAGAAATGTTGCTCATAGGCTCAGAAGGGGGAATTGCAAACAGAGATGAGATTAAAAGGGAGCCCTTGAGACTGTCTCTTTAAATACAGCAAGATTCACTTACTCCATGCTGAGCCAGGCTTGTTGAATGCTGGAGGCACAGTCCCACTGAGGTTTGCCAGCTGATGGAGCAGTGGAAATCTGTCTCTCCCAGTGTACCACCAAGTTGCCCTCTTCCACCTGTGTTATTTAGGAAGTCCCACTGCTAATAAATTTGCTGCAGAGTGAGCCTAGTGGGGAAGCAGTTTTACTTGACTGCCCATCAGCACTGAGCATGTTAAATGGTCTTTTTATCCAGAGGCACACAGGCACAGCAGACTTGGTACCACGTGTGTGGGAGAGCAGTGTGGGGTGTCTGGGTGCAGCTCCTCTTTTGTGGTCGCTGGTCCCAAAGGCAGGCAGGGAGCCTACAGGTGCAAGAGGAAAAAGCAGAGTGTGTAAGCATTTCCCATGGCAGATATCACAGAAGATTGCTTTCAGAGCCAGAGGAAGGAGTGCTTTGCTGCAAAGGGGAGTGAGGTGTCCAAGCCCTCCAGCTAGACCCCTGACCACTTCATTCTGCTCCAGGGCAGTTGCAGGATGTTCACAGGGCAAACATTGATCTGACTGTGACGTGGGCCAAGCCTGCAAAGTCTTTGCCTGGTTTGGCCTCTGAACTCTTGTAGGCATCATTTCAGCAGGGTTTTTAATTGCTCACAGGGGTTGGCCAGGCCCAGCATTTGGGTGGGAGGCAGACCCCGAGTTCCTTGTAGCTGTAGCTGTCCCACAGGGGCTACAGCCTGCTTTTTCCTGCTCTGTGCCCAGCTGAGGTCCTGTCCCCTGTGAGGTGTGGCAGTGCTGCTGACCAAATGAAGGGTGTAATGATGTAGAGAAAAAAGAACTGAATGAGACCTGGCCATCTGAGCTGCTCCTGTCAATGTGCAAAGCACAGTGGTGAGTGGCATTCATGTTACACTGAACCTCCTCAGCCCCTGAGCTGAGATTTCAGCTCTTATCCCCACGTCCCAGGCCTTGAATTTTTATGGCTTTGACAATTGAAAGAGGCTGAATTCCTTGGGACAGTAGCTGGTTTCCATTTGCTCTGACAAATGCTAATGGCACTAAATAAATAGCAAAAAGTGGTCTTAATGTAACAGGGTGCTCATTGCTGCCTTTCCTAAGCTGCTGTGTGCTATTAGGTGTTTGCTAAATTATGTCTTAGAGGCTCCTGGGTCTTTGGGGTGTTTGCTTTGCAGAAATGAGAACGACTGCCAGGCTCTCCTGGCTTCGGTTCTGCCCGCGCAGCTCCCGTGGAGGCTCAGGAGATGGGCAGCAGCCAGCACTGATCATGTTCCAGCCACTCTCTCCTCTTCCCCATGGCCTTGCTGAGAGCTGAGCACTTTGGAGCAGCAGTTTGGAGCAGCGGGAGCTCAGGGGCTGAGCTGCAAGAGGAGAGCTGCTCCCCACCAGCCATGCCCACCACCTTCCTTCAGGTGTGCCAGGGCAGAGGGGGGCTGCAAACCAAACACAGGTGAGGCTCTTCTCTGTGCTTGGGGGTCCTGCAGACTTCATGATGTGTCTCCTTGTTTTCTGGAGCTCCTTTTGATCTTGTGGGTGGTGATGGAATGGCCAGGACCCTCCATTAATCAGAAATAAAAGCAGTCCTGCTGCGCCCCTAAGCCTTTCCAAAGGCTGGTGGGATCTGAAAAGGAGCAGTGTTCAGAATGGTGGTGTTAAGGCACTAGGAAAGACTGAAACCCACTGGGCTACAGACTCTTTTGTATTCACAACAATGCTTTTCCAAGGGAGTTTAAGCACACACCTTGTTCCCAGCTGTGAGTCTCCAGCTAAATATTCCCCACACCCAGGACAACTGCATCCTAATCCTAACAGAGGCCCCAGGGCACTATTGTAATGCAAATAATGATAAATAACAGCAATAATAAAACTCCACCAGCACTTGCACCAGCTCCCTAGCAATCCCAAACCAGCCATAGCAAGCTTCATATCTCCCAGGTTATATAAAGGGCCATGAGCAATGTGCCTGGAGCTGTCAGGGAGGTGACCAATTAGCCAGTGTAGCTGCCTCCTGCAGGCAGCAAATCTGCCTGTGGCATGTGGGCTGCCACTGAGGCCGGGATGTGCTCAGGCACAGGGCTCCTGCCCTGGCTCCCGGGGCTGCCCTGCAGGTGTGGGGTGATGGCTCAGCACAGCACTTGGGATGGAATTCAAGTGGATGCCTCCCACCACCACGGGGAGGGGATTCTGGGGACAGCATGGGGTTATTTTTTTGGCAGACAGCTCTTTGTGAGCAATGTGAGGGCTGGAGTCAGCAGGCAGACTGGCACAGGAGCTGTGGGTGCTGGGGCCTGTGCTGCACACACAGGCTGTCCCTGGGCTTTGCACAATCCCTGCTACCATCCTTTGGGCTCTTTTGGGCTGGTTGCACCTGCAGAAGGAAGTTCAGTGCAGCAGCTGAGTGAGGTTAGAGGTGCTGCAAGAGCCATGTATTGTCACGAGTTCATGGCTGTCATGGGAAGCATCCCTCTGTGATGCCTTTTCTTCCCTGGAGCCACAGACCCTGATCCTGTGCTCTGCAGACCCAGTCCTTCACACTGAGCTGATGAGTGTACACAGGTAAGTGTTTTTATTTGGTAGCATTGCTCTACTTATCTCTGCTTTTAGCAGTTACTCTGTCTAGGCTGTCAAGCATAAAGTAATAAGAAATCATGCTCTGGTGTCTGTGTGCTTCCCATAGGAGTTTCTCTCCTTGAGAGAAATTATTAGATTAAGAGAAATTAGCATTCTAAAACTCTGCCCTTTGGCCACTGAAATCTACTGCTGCAGCTTTGGTCAGCCTTCTTCCACCTGTGCAGTGGAGAGCAGAAGAAGGGAGCAGGCAGGCAGAGTAATAGTAATTAGTAATAACCACACTTCTCCTTCCTGCTTGCAGTTTGTTACAGCCCCACTTTAAAGAACATGCAAATGGGCAGCCTGGGGCCCACTGAACCATTATCCTGCACCAGCTGTGGTGTGGTGTCAGAGAATGGTAGGAATTGCCCTGGGAAGGAGCATACTGGGAGGGTTAGAGCAGGCTGACGTGTCCTCGGGCAAACCTTCGCATCTCCGCGTTCAAACGCTTCCCAAGCAAAGGGATGTGCCTAGACTCCATGCTGGAATAGCTACATCCAGGCCCAGCCTCTGAGCCCATTTGTGTTTCTCCTGCTGGAATAGCTACATCCAGGCCCAGCCTCTGAGCCCATTTGTGTTTCAGTGTGAAACCGGATTATTTCTAATTGAGATACTCAAAATCTGAGGGGTTTCTGCCACATGGAGCCCTCTCAGTATGTGGGAGAGGCAGGAGAGGACTCCAGGCAGAGAAGGAGCAGCACGAGAGGGCAAGGGGACTGTAGTGGTCACCAGGAATTGTGGCAGCCTCAGCACAGCAGCTGCCTGTGCTGTAGCAGGGGTTTAGAGGAGAATGGGGAGGCAGTTTTTCAGATGTTTATGGGAAGTCTTCTCCAGTGTGAGGGACAACAAGGCAGAAGGCACCAGGGAGCGTGTCTGAAATATGGCACGTGAGCTGTAGTAGCTGGCACTTTCCTGCTGGAAGAGATGAGGCACAGGAGCAGAGGAGGTGTAGAGTCCCTCCTCTCTCAGATACCCAAGGGAGAGCTTTTTGGAAACTGTGTGAATGTAAGTGTTTATCCCCCCTGGAAAAGAACCAAGTGCTTTGGGGAGTGGATAGAAGGGAACTAGAAAATCAAATTGCATTTCCTTCCACGGCACCAAAGGCTTCCCAGCAAAGGCAAGTGGGCTTCCTCTCTATTTCACACCATTAAAAAGGACCTTTTAAGTCTGAAATCAGGTTGAGGTGTGAAGCTCATTTAGATAAATCACTAAGGAGGCATCTCATTTGGAGCAAACAGATGGCAGGGCCGAGGCACTGGGGTGGTGGTGGCAGGTTCAGGCTGGATGTCTGGAAGACAGGAGAGGAGTGAGCTGGGTGCACCTACTGGGATTTGGCTGACTCCCACTCCTGGTGGGGCTGCTCTGACTCAGCTCCAGCTGCTCAGTCTTGTTTGAGGTCTTCTCTTGCCCCCAAGCTGGGGATTTCAGTCCTGGGACCTATCAGTGCCATCAGGAGACATGGAATAGCATGATGGGGTAAAATATATCTCAGCCATCTTTCCATTCAAATGGGGAAAACACACAGAGACACAAACAAACTCTCCTTAGACACCTGCTGTTTCCAGGACTCTGGAAGCAAGGTGCCCTTGCACCAACCAAGTGTAATCCAAATGGGGAGTGCTGGGAGGGTTAGAGGCACTGGGGGAAAGGCTTTGAAGTCTCCTTTTTGACTGTGTCTTCTCCCTAAGGGCAGTCCCACTTACTGTGCTTGGCTGCAGCACAGGCTGAGGTGTAGCTGTGCCTTTGGGATAAGGTAAGAGAAGGCTGTCAGCGTCTGGGGTGGTTCAGTGTGGTAGCCCAGGGCAGCCTGGGCACCCACAGAGCACACAGAGCTGCAGAGACCTTGGGGCTCTTCAGTCCCTATGGTGCCTCTTTCCTAACAGCATTATTTAATTCTTCCTAGGGGCTAAAGTCCCTCTGCTAAATAGGTCAGCCTTGCAGGGGATGCAAGCACACCTTTTATAACATCATTCCCAGGATTTTTGTTCTCTTATTTACTTTGGCCAAACAGTTCAGGTCCCACATAGGTGCCACTCCATTCCCACATCTTTGTGTTGCTCCCCAGTTGGATTTTTTCTGTTTGGTGAACAGCATTTTTGGGACAACTTTTGGAGACCTTGTGGGCTCAGGTACATCTTTGTGCCTGGAAATGTGTCACCCTTAGTGAGGGTCCTCCCGGGAGTTATGAGGGCTGTGGGATGCCCAGGAGAGGTCCCTGCCAAATGCAGAGAGGAGTGGGCAGCCTCACAGTCATGGGGCTCCTGTCACACACTGAAGCTAAAATGCCTGGAAGGACAGCTTAGCTGACTGTACCTTTTCTTCATCCTGTTTTTTTTTTTTTAATTTGTTTTGGTTTTTTTCCCCTTTGCCACACTTCAAATAATTTGATGTTGAATATTTGAGACTGTTTCGTTGTCTTCAGTTCACCTCATGTGACCTCAGGATCTTCAGGGCAATAGCAGATGATGATGAAGATAATACTCTGCTGTTTCACAGTGCCACTTCCCGAGACTCCACGAGCCCTTCAGCAGCATTTACTTGTTCAGGCCTGCAAGCCATCTAAAGTAGGTTAATTTATTATTCCTGCTCTGTGTATCGTGAGAAGCTGTGACCTGTTCAAGACTTGTGGGCTTGAACCGTGGGGCAGGAGAGACCCTGAGTGCTCTCAGCACAGCTCCATGTCCTGAGGAAGGGCTTTTCCTGGAGCAACTGGCATGAGGGCATGCAGGAGGTGAGGCTATCCAGGGAGGAGGGAAGGTCCCTGAAGAGCTGAACAAAAAAGCTACACGTGTAACAGCAGATAAAAACTCCCAGACTTTATCAACTGGAGATTTGTATTGACTGCTGCAAAAAGGATGGTGATGGAGCAGTAGTATATGGATTGGAGATGAGGATTGTAGGTGGGAGGCTGGGCAAGCTATTGAGGGGCAAAATCCTCCATTCCTAAAATTAATGAAGCCTTCCATTTGCCAGCCTGGCCAGCCCTCCAGTGCAGCCCAGCTCGTGTTGGCTACAAACCCTCGACTACAAGGTCCCCATCTCTGCTTGGGGTAGAGAGGCAGGGATCAGGCAGGAGAGGATCCCCCTGGCTCTTGGCAGCCAGAAGTGAATTCTGAGGCTGTGGGAAGGGAAGAGCAGCACAATGGATGCTCTGACGGAGTGAGGAGTGCTCGGTCTGTGCCCCAGCTGCCTGTGCAGAGGCTGCTGGTGGGGATGGGAGGGCTGCCAGCCACGTGGCCCTCCAGGGGGCTGTATACTTGTTTTTCTTCTCTGTGACATTACATAATGCGAGGTAGAAAATGTTTGCACCGTAGCTGTATCGGTCCTTGGGGCGAGGGGAGAAAGGAAGGAGGCGGCGGATAATTTGAGGCTCTTTATTAGACCAATAAATCATTTATAATGCACCAGCTTTCAGGCTGGGCTCTTATTGCTCATGTCAGCCACAGGATGCTACCTGGTGACTGAAGCAGGCAGAGCATGGGCTGGCTCCCCTAAAGCAGAGGGGCACAGGGCAGGCACGGCAAGGGCTCGGGGGGACCGGAGACCTTGTCCTTCACAGGCCCTGGGGACAAACCCCATGCAGCTGGTGGCAGGCACTTGGCCTTGCACGAAGGTTCTTGCAGCCAGAGTGAAGGCAAAGCATCAGGAGCAAGACATAAGTGAGGGATCTGAGGGTGGATGGGTCACCTGCCCTCCCCACATCCCCTGCAAGCAGAGGTAGCAGAGACAGATATCACCACAATGGGTGATAGACCCTGGTGCCTCTGAGCCTTGGCTGGTGGGGAGCAGAGGGCAAGACAGGCATTACTGGTGGCATTCTCCTACAAAAGGGCA